GCCGAAAATGGCTCATTTTGAATGAGCCATTTGAAAGTGTTTACATTCGTTCTATTTCATTTGTTCTCATTTCAACAGCTGATTTTTCAACTTGCATGTTGATTTGATTTTTGACCTGTGCCAAAAAAATTTTGCATGAAGGTTAAATATGCCTTCAAACCTTACATTAGAAACTTAAAACATATTTTTAACTTCGATTAATTACTTTTTGGGAAGTAAAAGTTCTAAAAAGCAGTAAATCGTTTTCAAGAAAATGCAACCACCAAACATTTGTTTACCTTTTTTTGTAAATATGTTAAAAACAGCTTTTTCAAACTGTCAAAATGTCATGAAGAGCTTTCATTTAGGGTGTGTTCAATGTATTCCTTTGCATTTGGAACGTATGTGGAATGCATTCGAACGTCATTCATACAGAATGTGAGAAAATTGCTCATTTTGTGCTTGAAATTTTATATGCAAGAATGAGCCATTCGATACTCATTTTCGATTTTTGACCAAAATGAGCCATTTTCGGCCAATGTAAACGCCGTATAATGGGCATAGCTGAGAAATCGGAATGGTATCGATGTATATTGGAAATTTTCATCAACAAAATCACTTTTTATTGTTGATTTTATTTAAGTACCTACACAAGATTTTGGTAAGAAAATCCTTGTATGGTATTTTATGCTCTGATAGATTAATTGCTGCTAAGCCTTTTGTATTCTAATGTCTACCTTGCTCTTGATTACTGGAATAGGGTTTCAAGTCTAGACTTTTACGGTTTTAAAAATCTTGCAGCATAGTAAAATGTTTCGAAATTATTAATTTTTAAGAAATTTGTTAAAATAGAATAGTTATTACTATAATTTTTTAATATTGAACACATTCTTGTACGTGTAGAACCCAGTGGAGTGTTACCATCACGAAAAGTAATTAGAAAATTTTGTATATAGTGCAAAAAAATTGTGTGCGTTTAGGCAACTCTATTAGGATTTTTGTAAACAAATTATAATTTTGAATGAAAAAGTAATTTATTTTAATTAAAACTAAAAAACTAATTTATTTTTCATAAAATGTTTTCATCACAACAGCAGTTAAAAAGAAAAACACCAGCAAATGGCATAAATAGACGAGAGTTTATTGAGCATTTAGTGGAAGAATACCATACAACAACAAACATTGGTATTATGCATATTTTTTTTCTTTTGTGTTGTATAAAAAAAATAGCAATTGAATTTTTATAATAGAAGCGAAGGAGCAAGTAACTGCTAATTTAGCTAATTTTGCATATGATCCTATAAACTGGAAGTACTTGAAGGACACAAAAGCTTTGTATGTGTTTATGGAAGTCATTCCCTTGCCAAACGAGCGACTACAGTTGCATGCACTTGCCGGATTGTGTAACATATGCTTAGGTATTTAGTGACGTCTTCAAAATATTTTATAAAATTAAATTAAGTTAAATATTAATTATAGATGCACAAGCAAAACGATTTATAACAAAAGGAAGCAGTTTTACAGCGTTAACTAAATTATTTTTGGAGACACAAAATAGTGAAATAATTATTAATTTTATAACACTTTTTCATCAATTGCTTACTGTGGAAGAGACTGACTCTGAATTAAAACAAATTATAGCAACTCCTGATATACTCAAAAGAGTAATTAATTTACGTCAGCAAACGGCGGATCAAAGAATAAAGAATCTTTGTATAATATTTTTAGAAGATTTTGGTAGCAGAATAGAAATTCATGAATTACCTACAATTAGTAAACCAAATGTTAATATTACGGAGGTTTTGCAGTCAAACAGCGTTGAAAACTGCTGAAGCAGTACTTGTTAGAAATTTCACACAGGATGATTTGAATAAATTTTCAGAATTTACCGGTGATTTTAACACGATACATGACATATCAACACCACCTGCTGAACGCAGAGTACATGGTGCTTTACTAAATGCTGTTATTGCTGGCATAATAGGTACAAAACTACCTGGTCCAGGTACCGTTGTGTTGGAACAAAGATTTAAGTTTTTGAAACCATGTCGCATTAATGTGGACACAGAGTTTCGCGTACGTCTATTGGAAAAACGTAAAATATCAATGGTAGAATATGAAGCAAAGCAATTGAATGAAACCGTATTGGAGGGGAATGCGAAGTTACTCTTAAAAAATTAATAACGCATATGTGTATTTTGTTGTATATATTTCTTAAATAAATTTATTTTAATGTAATTAAAACTTTTAACTTTATTTCTTTTGTGCACGTTTGCCTTCGCCCTTTTTAGGTGCCGCTTTTCCCCGAAGTTTTCTTACTCGTTTCATTTCTTCTTTGAAATCTTGATGTTCATCGCGGAAGAGACCATAAGCACGTAGATTTTTCATCAGGATATGGGTTTCTACATGTCTAGGATACCAGTTGACCACATAGTCACGCTTGTGTATGGGCTCTTCGGCGTACATACGTACCACTTTCATGGATTTAGGGTTCGTTTCTCGTGCGACTTCACCAAATATACGATTGGAGAGATAATTCATGCGTCTAGCATATTGTGTACCCAATTTTATCAAATCACCATACTTGTATCCAGACATTATGAGTTTTGTCACAGTTTTTAATTAAAAACAATATTAAATAAATACATTAATTATATTTTTGTTGGTTATGTCATAACATCTGTATTATGTCAAAGTCTGTTTACAATATATTTAATGCAATGTTGCAACATTTCACTTCTAAATTATAAATATTCTCAGCTATACAGAAAGTCTTTTTGTCATATTTGTTGTATTGTGTTAAAATATCGAATATATATTTTAAAATTTTTTACTTCCAATAATGTCTGCGATAAGTATATATGTATATATTTATTTACTTAATGTATGCATTTTAAATGTACTATGCACTTTCCTTGCACAGAAAACATCACAAATATAATAGGTTTGTTTCACGAGCTACTCGTAGTAGTAAAATACAACAACTGAGAGCATAACACAAATAAAGTGCCAAATTTCGCTCTTTACACAGATTTTATGGAACAGCTTTGTGTAAAGTCTAGTGAGAACACCAGTACTACACAAATAAACAATACAAAAATTTAATTCAAACCAAAACAGCTTATTCACACATCAACACAAATTTTACTTGAAATAATATGTACGAGTAAAGTCTGTGTAATATTTTCAAATTTCGATAGGGATGTTAAACTCTCTCAGATGCTCTCATTTACTGGAACAGTTGCTGGTGGAACGTACTTGTGTATACACAGTGTTGCACAAAATTACTACAATTAGCTCGTGGAACAGATCTACTATTTGTGTATTTAATTATAATAGTCTTAATAATTTTTAACAACTTAATTGTTGAGCAATAATTATAATAGGGGTATTCAGGCAACTGATTAGTTGCTTAGTAGTTGATTACAACAAAAATTTGCACACAAAAATGAAACTAAGCCAAGAATCAACTATTTCGGTGATTCTCAGATTAGTACAAATTTGATTAATAGTGCTACCAGTACCAAGTGTCGTAATAATAACTTAAAATGAACTTTAGTATAGAAATTTGTTAGCTGTCTCTTTTGCTGTTCACTTTTGCTGTTGATGCGAGTGCTGCCAAGGCATTTACCCACAACAAACTAATCAGTTCAAGCAACTGATTAACATCAAAATGCTAAATTTTTTTTATATGAAGTTTTTGAATCAACTAAGCAACTAATCAGTTGCCTGAATAAGCAATCAAGCAATAAAAATATAGTGAACGTCTGTCTTAATGCTTCTATCCGCATACTCTTGATTTGTTATTTCTCTGTATGCGACACCAAAATATGTTTTATCCTGTTTCTATATAATCACTATAATTTACAAGTTTGGAATTAATTTATATTAATTAATTTCTATTAATATTATAATATGTATTTTGTATTACATTATTCAAATCTCTACATAGAATTGTAAAAAATGTGTTAATAAAAACATTAATATATTTTCTATATTATTTAAAGAATGTGGCATCCCTGATATTTTCTGCAAAATGTCAGAGTCATATGCTTTGGTGAAGTGACAACATCAACTAGTTCAATGACGTTTTTACGAAAAAAGTTGTATTTTTCCAAAATAAATAAATAAATTGCGTAAATTTTAAAAATTTGACGGAATAGAATTGTGTATATATATAACAAAAACTGTATATGAAAAATTATTATATAAGTTAAAATAGTAAAATATAAGATAAAATACGAAAATGTTTCGCAGTCGTAGTTGGTTTGGTGGAGGGTGGAATCGCCCTAGAAATCGTCTTTCATTGGATCATCTAAAATACTTATATGGAATATTAGAAAAAAATACTACCGTATCAGAAAGTAATCGTAGCTTGTTGGTGGAATCGCTGCGTTGCATAGCTGAAATATTGATATGGGGTGATCAACATGATTCTTCAGTATTTGAGTAAGGAAATATACGACTTTTTGTTTCCAATTTATATAATTATATTAATATTTGCTCATTTTCTAATTTTATAGCTTTTTCTTGGAAAAAAATATGTTATTATATTTTTTGAATATAATGCGACAGAAAAGTGGTGGTTCGAGTTTTGTTTGCGTGCAACTTTTACAAACGCTGAATATATTATTTGAAAACATTAGAAATGAGACGTCGTTATGTAAATATAAATAATTATTTTAATCAGTATGTATTCTATGTTAATACGTAATTTGTTTGTTTTCATATTAGATTATTTGTTGAGCAATAATCATGTAAATTCTATAATTGTGCATAAGTTCGATTTTTCCGATGAGGATGTTATGGGCTATTATATTTTATTTCTGAAAACATTGAGCTTGAAATTAAATACACACACAATACATTTCTTCTATAATGAGGTAAGTATTTTTTTTATATGTATTTCTATGGTATGAACTAAATATTGTCCACAGCATACAAACGATTTCCCGCTGTATACAGAAGCAATAAAATTTTTCAATCATCCAGAGTCAATGGTGCGTATTGCAGTGCGTACGATATCTCTAAATGTTTATAAAGTACAAAATGCCAGTATGCTGCGATTTATAAGAGATAAGTATGTTATATGACAA